ACGTACAGTGTTCTCCGGATTAGAAGACGTTCCGGAGAGTAAGACGCACCCCAAAAACACGTGCGCCTGGTGTCAATGAACGTACACAAACCCGCGCTCGAAAACAAACGCGCAGTTGCCCGATTTGTAAGATGCGCCCGCAAGATTTTTTTGCTTAAAAAAAAAATGTACAGGCTGGAAAACGTACGAATTGCGTTAGAAGACAGGCGGGAGGTGCGTCTTATAATGGGTACGACACGCGAATACGGTAGTTGTAGTGATAGTTATCCGTTGTTTGTTGGTGCTTATAATTAATTGGTTCGCTGTGGTGTTGAAAGCGCGGGGGGAGGGGGGGATGGGCTGATGTAAGAAACGTGCTTCCATTCACGTATCCTTGGAAATGTTCCCATAAAAAAAGTTTGTCAAAGGAGCAAACAGCAAAGGGCGTTGATCCTCTTTCATGCCAGGATGTCCGATGTTTGATGTTTGTTTTTTGGGCTGGAATTCGATGATATTTTGGGCTTGGATCACACGATGGGAAACCTTTGCCAGGGCGTATAACGGGACGCCGCTGGTTGACGTTTGGTTTAGAGGTCCGGAGTTGGTTGCGTATAAAACAACTTTAGGGAACATTTTAGTTTCCGAAGTAAGTGTAGATTGAGGGACCGGGTGGGTGGGAATGTCACTTCAGGCGTTGTGCAACCGTGCCACTAGGGCGGACGCGACGCTTACGATATATCGCACGATAAGATCCGCAATGAATGGCGGCAGAAATAATATCGTCGTTTCGTGAATTTTGTTGCTTTCATTTTTGCAATTTTTTTGTTAGCCTTCATTTCTTCACGAAATGACAAAAAATATAAGTCCACAATTGTAATCATATGAATTAAAGTAAAAAAAATCATCATACGACTGTATTATCCGTTCAATGAGTGTTGTAACACGATTTTTTTAGCAATTGATGTTGTGCGCTTTGAGCATTGTTGGCAGTAGCGTAAAGTTACAGTTTTATTTATTCATGCACCAGGTAAGGCCCACTGAGCTATTTAGATATTGTTTTGATAAGTGACCTGTCTATCACAAATGATAGCTCAACCAAGTGGCTTATCACGTGGGCGTTTATTGCAGCCAGATACTGTAAACGCAAGTTTGTAAACGTCGAGGTGAAAACCCGGAGCACCCGGACAAAAATCCACGCGACCACGGGAAGAGCACGCAAACTCCAGATATACAGCAGGCGTCAGAGTCGGGGTCGAACCCACGACCTCCTGTATACCAGGCGAGGTAGTTTACATCTCGCCACCGTGGCGCCCTGTGTACAGCGGTTAGAAGACACGTGGCAAGCTCTGGGTTGAGTTGAGTGAAGTACAGTTGAATAGCGAACCGAATTATGTTTTGCATTTGAACTTCATCAGAGCACAAACGCAACACGACGAAAACGCGAAGAACAACTCCAAAGTTAAGACCACTCAGCAAAAGAAATGTGTCAAAACCACACAGCCGTTGTGCATTTTTGAACAACATCAAATCCCATCAGCTGATCCTAAAGAATCGCACCGTAGCTCTGTTGTTTAAGGTAACCATCAAAATAAATCTCAACGGTTGTGCCCGACTCACCGCAGCAGTGATGCAGTGATTATAGACTTTCCCGCCGCCCCGTGTGGACTGGTTTCATCCCCATGAGGACTCATCAGCACAGAATCGTCAGAATGACGAACGCTGCCCGCACATTTGTCCATCAGTGCGTCACAGCTGCTGTCGGTCGGTGACACTCACTCAGAGTGTGCCGTAATTGTGCCCCTAAGACAGGGGTGGGGAACCTTTTTTCTGCCAAGGGCCATTTGGATATTTAGAACATCATTCGCGGGCCATACAAAATTATCAACTTAAAAATTAGCCTGTTATATTTGGTCAAACATTTAATTAACTCGCCCCTAATGCGACGGCTGGAACTGCTTCTCTTTGGTGAGGCGTGTGATGTTAGCTGGTATTGATGATCTTAATTATGGAGCTTTCGTGACTGCAGGAATTATTCTTTGGTTCTTTCGGTTAAGTCACGTCTAAAGATAAAATAACAAACTAAAATAAAAGCATATTACGACGCTTCGATTGCAACACAAGCAATCATCATCAGGTAAAAAAGAAAAAGCAACAAAAATCCAACTAGAAAACTATAGACAGACATACAAGCAGACAGACATCACAAGGACACACAGAGAGTTCTTTGTGCCGATATGTGTCCTCTCTCTGTGTGTCCTTGTGATGTCTGTCTGCTTGTATGTCTGTCTATAGTTTTCTAGTTGGATTTTTGTTGCTTTTTCTTTTTTGCCTGATGATGATTGCTTGTGTTGCAATCGAAGCGTCGTAATATGCTTTTATTTTAGTTTGTTATTTTATCTTTAGACGTGACTTAACCGAAAGAACCAAAGAATGGTATTGATGATGTTGCTGCTACTCGCAACTGCTTTTGCAGGTTTGGTCCTAGATTGATTGCATTTCGAATCCCGCCTGCGGTTGCTTTGGCAGGGCCAGACCCAAATGATTTCGCGGGCCTTATACGGCCCGCGGGCCGGACGTTCCCCACCCCTGTCTTAAGGCAAGAGGGCCACAATGGTTCTTCTCTAGAAAATGCGCATGGGTTTTTTATTGCATCGTGCAAAAGGGCCGGCAGCACGCGTGCTTTTAGCACGTGTTCTCGCTCTCGTAAAAAAAGAAAAAAATCACGGTTTTCCCCATGTAATGGTATTCTATTATGGGTTGTTATTTTGTTTATTACAATATAACCATATTCTTGGTTCTTTCGATAAAGTCACGTAGAAGGGAAATAATAAAATAATATATGATTGCTTGTGTTGCAGTCGAAACGTCGTGAGAATTTTTATTGTTTTATATTTATATTATTTTATTATTTCCCTTCTACGTGACTTTACCGAAAGAACCAAGAATATGAATCCCTGCAGTCACGAAAGCTTTAAATCAAAATATAACCGTCAATCTTGATTTGAAGCTTTCGTGACTGCGGGGATCCATACTATTTGGTTCTTTCGTTAGAGTCACGTAGATATAAATAAAAGAAAATAAAACATATCACGACGTTTCGATCGCAACACAAGCAATCTTCATCAGGTGTGACAACCACAGCAAAGAACTGGTGAAGTCGGCGAGAGAGTTGCCGTGGCAAGAGGGGATATCGGTAAGAAAGAGGGGAGGCAAGGGAGGAGAGAGAGGAGAGAGAGGGGGACCAGCATTCTTTTGCTGTGGTTGTTCCACCTGATGACGATTGCTTGCGTTGCGATCGAAACGTCGTGATTTGTTTGATTTATTTTTCTATCCTACGTGACTTTACCGAAAGAACCAAAGAGTATGGGTTGTTATTTGTTTACTACAATTTCACCGTCGTATGATGAAATGTAAACAAAATGTCGCGGCTGTCCGCCCCTAAGCAATTATTCTCAAACGGTGGGGGGTGGTGGGGGGGGGGAGATTGCATCGTTTATCAACATTCCTTGTGGTTACACAACAAAGCACCTTGCAGGAAACAAGTGGGTCACCAGTCGTGTTGGTTACCTCGTTTGTAGTTCGTATGAACAATGACAAATCCCGGGGTGTTGAGCGCTTGGCGCATTGCGTCACCATGAACCCGGCGGCCGATTTGCGATTTCTCCGTCACGGCTAAGGGGCCGTCCATAAATGACGTCACGCGATTTTGGACGATTTTTTACCACCCCCCCCCCCCCCTTCGTCACATGACGTCACAAAAAGTCAGACCCCCCCCCCGTCAAATATGTCGTCACTAAGCTCTGCCCCCCCCCCCCCAAAATCGTCCAAAATCGCGTGACGTCATTTATGGACGGCCCCTAACATTCAACCGGATGTCGATAAAACGTTTGCCACTTTTATGGGGGAAGTCAACAGTGGCTGTCCTGTAGATATCCTCGCCCCCGCCACAGAACTGGGGAATGTCCACCACTGCCTCCGGGCTGTAAACAGGAAACGAGCAACGGCCTCAATGTTCATTCGAGCAGGAAACCACCTAGACTCGTTCTCATGTTGTAAGTGTAAGAAGCTGGCATGCTTATTACTTGATGTGAAATTTTTAAAAAACCACACGCACGTGTCTTCGAAAAGCTGTCTGCGAATGGATGACTCCAGACAGGATGCGTCTGAGTCAGGATGGTGAACGTAAGTCACCGCCGTGTTACATTTTTCGGCCGTCACCCTTAAAGAATGCACGTCACCGGTTTACGTCAATCACTCACGTTTTATTTATAACCGTACGAGCACCCGTTCACATACAATATGCCTTTTTTCGGGCAAGGGAGAGAGACATGGGCACACGTACAATGCAGTGACCGTTAATATGTTTTTAATTGTTATAATAAATATTATTACTTTGTAATTTAGCTTTGGGTAAAATGTATATGTTGGGATTTGGATTATGACACGAGCACACAGTGGGCTGCTCTTGAGAGTCGTGTCACACCTTTACAGCTCTCAGAATGTCCCACAGATTATTGTCTCACGGCTGTGACCATTGAGCCAATCACAACTGCATACGAGCTGGCCCAATGGCATGTACACTTCTCTCCCATTGGCCTAATCAACCGACGGCTCTGGGGCATTTTTCCACGTCGTAGTGTTATACATCCATTGACTGGGGTCTAAGAATGAAAAACAAATCACTTTGACAGTCGATCAGCCTGGAAGATTAGGTCGAATGCCATCTACAGGGCCAATCTAGGGCTCCCTTGAGTCGAGGCCCTTTCTGCCAGCAGTGGTGTTAGAAAACTATCGCAGGGCTGCACGTTTGCTTAGAACAACTTTCATGGCTTTCCACGGTGGTACGCAAAATAATTGTGTACCAAGACTAAAAGCCCCCCAACGCACATTGTGGTTTTGGCCGTGCAAGTTTAGTTCATAGTTACAGCGGAATATCTGTCTGCGAAATTGGCAACAATAACTCTTCGTTATATGGTATGTATTTAGAATTGTCATCCTTTTAATGGTTTTTTTTTCTGAAAAAAAAACAAGCTGTGTGCGTTTTATCAGAATATTCTACGTCTTGGACACTTGAGTGGCCGGGTGGCTCAGAGGCCAAAGCAATGAAATGAGACGCCACTGCGAAGAGCCTCGGTTCAAATCCGGATTTCAGCCACTTGTGATTCAACCGGATTTATCAGGTGTAGCGAATTGAGGTTCTCGGCCTGGTCACCAATGATAGCACACTAAAATCAAATGGCATTTGAATTTTCACCTAATTTGACTACAGCTCTGAGATTTCAAAACGGTCACTCAGCAGGCATTGTGGATACTTGTGCCTCTCTGACATGGTGTTTAAAAAAATGGAAGTAGTTCTTGGATGTCTAGATTTGAAGCTTTCGTGACTGCAATGATTCATATTCTTAGGTTTTTTCGGTAAAGTCACGTAGGTAAAAACATTAAAAAGTATGCGGCCCTTGCCCCACCACCTTCTCCAACCATTATATAAACGGAGTGGTAGCTCCTGCAATCTCTCATTTACTTGATATAGCTGTCGTGGCTGTGACGGTACCACCTGAAGACGGAAGCTTGTGTTGCCTCCGAAACGTCGTGATTTTTATTTTATATTACTTTTTAATGTTTTTACCTACGTGACTTTACCGAAAAAACCTAAGAATATAGTTCTTCGATGTCTTCTTCCGCGTGGCCATCCCCGAGCACACTGCGTATGCACTGCTCTGCGAAGGCTCCGAAACGATTTGGAAACAAATCAACCTACCGTTGATTTTTATCGCGAAGCCTCGGTTTGTTGTTTAATAATCAACAGTCGTGTCACGATCCACCGCACCCCTCGCTCCCGCCCCCTTTACTCATAACGATACAGGATCACGATTTGATTCAACATCAATTGCCGTTGTTTAATTTTAACCATCTCGTCCGTGCTTTCGTGTTGCTCTGTCTAGTCATGCTTCTGTCCTTGGCTCCATTGTCCTAATTGTAACGTTTGCAACATCTCAACACATCCCTGCGTGGCCCTGAAAGGAAACAAATATATAATAGGCCTTCTTTCATAGGCCCCATTTCCTAAAACTGTCACCTATCACGTACTTTTCCCTTTGAAGGCACTGCCAACGCAGTATCGCAAAACAAAAATTCGCGTGACTTCTGCATTTGTCCTTAAGTAATCGATTTGAGGGTACGAATTTATATTTGAATCGATGCGTCGTTACTTGCCTACCAGTCGTGACATGGCGCCTTGCTCTTGCGGGTGACATTGAATGAGTCGATGCCTTCATAGGTGCTCGCTAACAGCACTTGCCCTCAATAGCCTGTTAAGGCTATACCGGGGGGGGGGGGTCTTTGTCTTATTTGTCTTTGCTAACCCCTTGATATGCCATTCTCAAAACTGCTTATTGCCCAACGGCTGAACGTTTTAAACAATCGTCACATTAACAGTCCAACGATTATAACAGCCCACCGATTTAAATACTATAATACACGGTTGTTATTTTTTTTGTTGCCATTTTTACAAAGTTTGCTAACCGCCCGTGTCTGTCGGCTCCTTGTCCCCCCAGGATGCTGAACCGGAGACGAGTCCAACTCTACTGCAGGTGGACTAACATACGTAGAGTGCGAGATAGAAAAACTATTGAATGTTAGGTAGCCTTTAAAATAACGTTAATAAATAAAGTGTGAACACCTTAACTTCACCTCATCCTTGTGCAAAGTAAAGGTACATTTTTTCCCTTCAATCAGTAGCTCAAAGCTCAGAGTGAACACGGTGGTGGGGTTGGGGGGGGGTAATGATTGTTTTCGACCGACGGTGAAAGATGCACTGGCTGTCCGGCTCCTCAGATGAATGTCGCTTAATTGTGATTCTCAGATTTCAGCTCCGACATCAATCTACTCTCAACCGTCCACTCTGCGTTGCCTGTGCGCTGCTGTGCGTCTCGTGCATCCGCTTGCTGCTTTGCCGTTTTTTATCGGTCGCCGCATCGCGCGCTTTTTCAGATGCGTTTTTGTGGCCGTCTGGAACGCTCTTCCTTCCGATATTAGGAAGCCACTGGAGGCTATGCATTTTTTTTATTTAGATTGAAAACTAATTTATTCAGAACTGCTTTTTTGTGTTTAGGTTGTTGTCCTTCGCCCGCATCCTCAAATTAGCGTGGTTAGCTACGTACGGTGCGAAAGAAGTTCAACATACACACGTAGGTCACAAATGCAGTGTGCGTTTTAACACCGTAAGACAAACAATTTTATGAACTTTTGAACTCTCACTCAGCCCCTGTACTGATTTTGTTGTTGTCATTTCCCTTCCACACCCCCCCCCCCCCCCCCCAATGTTATCCCGATTGTGCTGCTGGCGGTGGCGTCATAAGTCAAAGTATCCTTTCGGATCTTTCCCAGAGCAGTGTGACCCCAGCCCACGGAAGCAGATATCACGGGGTTACTCCCTGAGATCCCTTCAAGCCACCTCTGGTCGACACGTGGTAAAGGGGCAGCACTTACCGCTGCATTGTGGTAAGTGCTACTCATACGTTGCATGACAGTCAACCCGATATTTTAATTTCCGGAGCTGGAGTTTATCCACCTAAAGCGTCCGCCTCTGATGCAGAACGTGTCTGGAAATGTGGCTGCAAGCGCGCTCGTTTCAAATTGCACCTTCGTACAGAATTGACGTTCCACATGATAAGCCACTTGTATGTATGCACATGTGCGTATGTTCTTTCTCACGCATCATACGTAGCCAACCGTACGTAGCCAACCGTGCGAATCGGAGGTGCGGAGGATGGACACTTCATTTGGCTACCATTTCTGAAAAAGAGCCGTATAAGCTCAGTGGACCTTACCTGGTTAAAAACAATGTTTTTATCGTTCACGAAGATGCACAGGGATATGCACACACAACAGGCGCGGCAGAATCCTTGGGACAGGTCTCGCCGTTTGAACAGTTGCGCGAAAAACCGGCCGGGCCATAGCATCACCGTGCCATCAGCAGCGACTCATCCGATGCTCGACGGTTACGTAGAATCTCGTACGATACCTCATCTCGTATAATTCTCTGTGCGTTCGACAAACTCTTGCAGCAAGTTAAGGTTGGTGGGGTGGCGGCGGCGGGGGGGGGGGGGGGGTAAGGCGGAGGTGGGTAAGGGGGCTGTGGTTGTTGTCTGGCAAGTCCCGTGGGTATAAAAGTTGCTTCTCCAAACTTCCGTAATCCATAGTCCATTGTTCGCCGACAGCAAGGGCCGTCATTTGACCCCCCCCCTGCCCCCCCCCCTCCCCCTGCCAACCACCTCCCTCGCTAAAAAAAAGTTCAACTGCCACGAGCTTCCGAGTTTTCATTCGTTTTCATTCGTTTTCATTCAGACCCAGTTGGTACAAAGGTAACGAAAATCCGTTGGCAATATTAGTTGTTTAACACAATATTAGTTGCGGTTTTTTTTCGTCGTACGGTTGTGCTCGATGTTCAGGTGCAGCAAAACTCGAGGGTCCGACGTACGAGCAGAATCGCAGCACACGGACGCTGCGCTGCTCTGCCCCATCATCCCCTGGAGATCTTTGTCAACGTATTTTCAATTAAGATCGCAGTTTCATCTAATTGTACGAAGGCTACCGGAGAACTGTTTTCCCATTGAGTTTACTCCACGAGTTAAACAAAAAAACAACAACAACACAAACCTCTCCTTTAAAGTTGAGAACCCATTGCCGCTCAGCTTCAATTTAAGCGGCGGCTTCGTGGTCTGCATCACGATCCACGCCCCGTCGACCCGAGTTCGAACCCCGGCCAGGGATCTGACGTCGGTGGCGAGGGACATCGAAGCCGTTCCGAGCTCGTCCGCTCCGCCTGCCCCACCACGGCGGCGTGACAACGATCGTCGTGGTGAAAGTGACGACGACAAAGCAAGCCAGACCCGTGCTGGACGTGGCACGGGGAGGCCATCGTCCAGCAAAGGGCTGACATTTGAACGTATTGGCGGAACACCGGTGGCGGGTGGTATATATGTAAAATAAAAAAATAAAAATTGTTCGCAATTATTATTTATTTTACCCGCGATTCGCAAAGCCCGTTCCGAAAATCTTGCGGGGTCAGTTCTCGTCATGTCGAAGCAGTTGGAAGACTGAATGTCGGTGCAAATATAGATTTTAGATTGTTTTACGAGGGCCGGTGTACCGCCAATACGTCTTATTTGGTATAATAATTGAAGAAAACAAGTGAATTTGCTTTCCGATTGTGACCAGCAACTTGGTAGAATGGATGAGCCAATGACCAGGTCTGTAAAGCTCGACAGATTCACGAAGTTGTTGAACGACGTATGAACGTTGAACCTCTTTCACACCATACGTAGCGCGGAAAAGAACGACGCCGTTCTTTACTTTGAACGGTGGGACACGGCACCCTCTGAATGGCAAACAGACGTGTGCAGTGCGTGCGTGCGTGTGTGTGTTTTATAACATAAATAATTGCATACACGGAGGGCACGCGCGCCTCTCAGGACGGCGAGCCCGCGATGAGATTTCTCCCGCGCGAGCCGCACTTACGCAGTGGACGTTCTGCGTGCGTGAGACACCGTGAGCCCCCCCCCACCCCTCCCCCCTCCACAACCTCATGCGAGTTTGCATAAAGGCCCATCGGGCAAACCACCACGGGGATCTGTCAAATCGCCACGAAGCGACAGGTGGCAGAGAAGTCTGTCCAATCGAGTCGCTCGGTTTGGTTCCTCGCGGGCCCTCGCCAAAACACTTTCAAGTCCTGCCACCACGGTAGGACCAACTAAACTTGGCTCCTCTAATCCCTCGTAGCTGTGGAAGCAGTGGAGTCGGCGGGGGGGGGGGGGGAAGGTGGCGGCAGCCGGGGGGAGCAGGGGAAATGTTTCTGCCCTTCTGATGTAAAACACCTCCGGCCGAGACCAAGGGTTGCCACTTGTCCTGGTGTTTTTTCCAGCATCGTCTTCTTGTCGAGGTAACCGTCCTGGGAAATCTACAAGTCTTCCCCGGTGCATGAAAAGTCCCGGCTTTTGTCCATCGCGTAATCATGCAGCGCTGGAGACAATGCGTTTGCGCGTAGCGCTCCCCTCTTCCGGTGTTGCGAAATATTCTTCTTCCCGTGATATGTCCAGGTTTTGTGCGTGTACCTCAGAGGCGGCAACCCCCTCTCCTTACCGAGACCCTTCGCAGGGGCCAGCGGGGCTAGCGGGGACTAGCAGGGAGTCTCCACGTACTCGTTCTGGAAGTTGGGCCTGGGCGGGCAGGGCGATGGCAGCGGGTGGCGGATGATGATGTTCTGCCGCGGAGGCAGGCATTCGTCGGGAAGCTGCATGACGTCCCAGATGAGCATGGCGGCGGCGGCGGTGGCCAGGAGGCACGCCACCACCTCCACGTAGCAGGACCACGCCAGCTGCGTGTAGGGCCCCACGCGGAAGAACGTGGCCAGACCGATCACCAGCACGAAGCCTGCGTGCGAGAGAGAACGGCGTCGGTTGGCTTTGCCGCAGCGGGGGAACAAACACAAAACGAGCCGGCGCTTCGGATGTGCCCGTCGAAAACGGGCGGTAGTTCTCCCATACCAAAGGGGTTGGCAACCTGCGGATCCGTAGCCGCGTGCGGCTCTCTAAGAACTGCTGCTTCGTGAGGTCGTTGTTTATCGAGGACCATCACCGTCTCGCATTAGTGTGCATCGCGGCTCTCTTTGTTTTTACCGAATTGTTGGTTGCTGACCCCTGTCCAATACGGTTGATCGGCAATAACAATTTCAAACCTCTAATCAATGTGTTGGTGGGGTGGTGGCGTGCCGCTATGTTGCCGCTGTGAGATTTCAAATGGAAACACTGTCAGCCTCTTAGGCTGGTGACCGGAGGAGACATGAGCGGCATGCAAATTACCGATGCATGTGCCCTGGTGAGGCCTGAAAAGGAATTGTGGCAATTTCCCATGACGCTTGCCGCAGCCTAATAAACCTAAAAACAATCCACAACGCATGAACTCCATCAGAAAAAAAAAACGCAATCATGTTTTTTAATACTACCGTATTTTGTATGAAACATGTTACGTATTATAAAAAAAAATCTTATTTAGGCTACCAACTCGAGAAGAGTGAAAATGTGGCCATTCCAGAAAGGCCACGGACATCAGCTCGTGTTGAGATGATGTACGTGCAATGTGGTGATCACATTACATGCATGCAAGGCATGAATGAGGGTAGTGCCTAGCTGCTGTTTGTGAACAGCTGTTTGTGAACAGCAGCTCACCTTCCTGTGTCGTTTATTATATTTTGTTTCCCAACCGTGAACCATATTCTCCAGTTGTGATGAGTTTCCTTTGCGTTCACAGAGGAGCGTTGGACTTGGATCGCGGATCGCTGTGGATTGTTCCAGTCGAGGTCCTTAAACAGAGGAATTGTGTGTGGCCCGTGGCTCGGTTCCATCGGGGGCATAGGTGCTAACCTGAGCATCCTGGCCAGTCTCCCCCTACAAGTCAATAAAATCCACGGCTTCGCCAAAGCCTCCAAAACTTGGCTCCTTCTCAAAATGTTTCGTCTTCTCCCGTGAAAACTGGACGTCCAGTTTTAGTCTTTTTTTTCATGTACCCCCCCCCCCCCGCCCCTTTTCTGTAACTTCGCTGGAAATACTCCCGGCACGAATAATTTATGAAGAAGCCCTATATGGTCTTCTTCTTGGTTCTTTCGGTAAAGTCACGTAGAAGGGAAATAATAAAATAATAAAAATAAAACATCATAAAATAATATAATAAAATAATATATTATCATGATATAATATAATAAAATCATATATAATTGTATTATGTTTTATTTTTATTATTTTATTATTTCCCTTCTACGTGACTTTACCGAAAGAACCAAGAAGATGAATCCCTGCAGTCACGAAAGCTTTAAATCGAAAAGCCCTATATGGGTTTTGTTGTAGCTCTGGCTGTAAACACGACTGTCTCGAATGAAGCGTAAAGGGAGGGGCGGCGCGATGTGGCCGAGCGCTCGCGCGCGCCGCTCCATGCAAGAGACTCGCGGTTCCGAGCCCCGTGGCCGCCCTGGTTAATAGTTCACCGCGAGTGAGAGGACCGTCTGCTTCACGGTGGAATGTCAGAGATCCCGTGACCTCATTCGAAACAACGCAACACAGCCATGTGGGATAAAAAAAATGGGGCCATGTATGTACATGGATGCCAAGGTGGGGATATGTTAACTGCCTCGCCTGGTATACAGGAGGACGTCGGTTCGATCCCGACCCTGAGGTATGTACATTGGGCGTTTGCGTGTTCTCCACGGGGTAAAATGGATTTTTCTCCGGGTCCTCCGGTTTTTCCCCCTCCACATTTAGAAACGCGCGTTCAGAGTAATTTGGCTGCTGTACATTTGCACGTGATAAGCCACTTCGTTGAGCTACCATTTGTGGCCACGTCACTTCTGAAAAAGAGCTATACAGCTCAGTGGGCCTTACCTGCCAAAATACAAATACTGTAGTAATATATGTATGTTGGACTTTTTTCGCACCATACGTAGCCAACCGTCATAATCAGAGGTGCGAGTGAAGGGCAACAAACAAAACACCAAAAAGCAGTTCGAAAGAAATGACTTTTCAATCTAGATTTAAAAGTGCATAACTCCAGTGTCTTCCTAATATCGCAAAGAAGAGCGTTTCACACGGCCGCAGTAGCACAGAATGTACGATGGCGTCACAGTAAAAAAAAATGACCCATAAGTTACTCAACTGCGTTCGCACATGCAAACGTCGACCCCTCAACTGCACAACTTTAGCGGGACTATTTGTGAAAAGGAGGCTTTCTTGGGTAAATAAATAAATGAATAATGCCTTCAGCTCGGGCATTCACGATTTTTCCTGTTGTGTTATTTACGCATCCCAGCGGGCCCATTACGACGGAGGGATTAAATTTAGCGCTCTCGATCCAGGCGCGCAGGCGCTGTGGGTGTTGTGGGTGACTGCACCCTCTCCCCTCTCCCATAACCAACCCTCCCCCCACCGAAATGTAGTTTTGGATGTGGCTGAGAGATGGCCACACAAATTTGTACTCTTTGGATTTTTCGGTAAAGTCACGTAGGTAAAAAAATTTATATAAATTAAATCACGACGTTTCGGAGGCAGCTTGTGTTTGGCAGCTTGTGTTGCCTCCGAAACGTCGTGATTTAACTTATTTTAATTTTATACCTACGTGACTTTACCGAAAAAAACAAAGAATATGAATCCTTGCAGTCACGAAAACTTCAAATCTAACACACAAATTTGAACAAAAATCACGGCACTGTATTTTTGGGCCCACGCTCTTCTTGCCTTCCACCAGGTGACGAAGTGCTGCTTGTGGTGAAGATGAAACATTCAAATTCCCATGAGCTAGCGCACGAACAGGAGGCTCAAGTACTGAATCAGCGGCCACTAAGTATATCTGAAAATGTGATATATAATTGAAATATAAACAAACTATTCACATGTTTTTTTTATTTGCCATGTAAGGCCCACTGGGCTATATAGCTCTTTTTGCAGAAGCGACCTGGCCACATACGATAGCTCAACAAAGTGGCGTGTCTCATGTGGAAATGTATAGCAGCCAAATACTCTAAACGCGTGTTGAATTTAAATGTGGAGGAAAACATCGGAGGACCCAGAGAAAAATCCACGCGACCACGGGGAGAGACACACGCAAACTCCAAATATACAGCAGGCGTCAGGGTCGGGATCGAACCCACAACCTCCTGTATACCAGACGAGGCAGTTAACATTTCGCCACCGTGGCACCCCACATAATTACAATGAACAGCACATCGGGGGATGCCGATGTGGTGTAAGGCAGAGGTCGGGGTGACGGATAGCCTGCGATGGAATAAAGTGTGGGAACTCCCCCCCCCCCAACCTCTTGCATTTCGACATCCCGCCAGCGTGGAACAGCAGGCCAAATTCCCTCAAGAATGGCTCTCTCGAGCTCCCTAGTGAAGGCCCTTCCACCGGCAGGGACGTGAGCAAGCAATTTGCAGGGCTGCACCTTTAACTGCACCTGTAATACAGTAACACTTATCTGACCTACTAAAGTGGGGTGGGGGGTGCGGGGCCCGGGGAAAACCACACCGTATGGGCCCACCAGATGCCTTCAAACTCAACCGCAAGTATTGCATCTGACACCGTGGCGTCGAAGCGCGGGGGGCCCCCCCAAACTGCGGGGCCCGGGGCTGTCACTCCGGTCCGCCGTACCCTAGAGATGGCTCTGGTGGTTGGTGGTGGTGGTGGTGGGTGGACGAGTTTTTCAGATCCTATCTCTAATCTAAGCAATAACCACCGGGGGAGTCATTCTCTAGTCATACCCCCCCCCCTACACACACACCGTCCTGCCATCCCCCGCACCCCCTTCACGCTCCTTGGCATCTCTCGCGAAAAGCGAAGGCACTGGATAGCAACCGCGGCCGGCGCGACAAAAGGACGAGCATTGGTTTTGGAGCGCCTCGGTCGCGCGCTGCGTGCGTGCGCTGCTTCTCCGCGCACTCCGCGGCAGTGCCAAGTCCAAGCGTCCTCCTCCCTCCCCGTAGCAAGTTACATCCTGTGGCGGCAGCGGAGGATATCCTGACGCCCCCGAGTCGCTGTATTTTTAGCTGTTTCCCGCGAACTGGCGCAGTGGGACTAATATTAGCAGTCAACGGCCACCCGCATTCAGACGCCTCGGACGAGGCCGCCGTGCAAACAAAGGCTGCAAGAGCGCGGCGCAGCTCGATTCGTCTTTCCACGCACAAGCCAAGCTTCTCTTTCACAAAAGCCCCCCCTCCCCCGCCCCGCTAACCCAGCCACCAAACACTGAGCCGCGATCGTTAACGACGCATGTGGTGCGTCTGCGCCTGCAAACTCGACGTCGTATCTGTTCGTGAATCGTCGTGATCATCTCCAGCCGTGGTCAAATCTCCTGGCCCGGATGAAAGCCTCCCAAAAGTAGCCGCCGTCGCTTCTGCCGCTGCCACCGCCGCCGCCGCCACCTCCCGCAATGCTGCTGCGATGTCATAATCCACCGAGCGCCTGCGTATGAAACGATTAAATTTTTTAAATCGCTCCATCTCTACGATGGACGGATTCTTTAAGATGCGTTCCATTCCTTGGCTGCCACTGCCGTCGTTATTATTATTCTTCTTGACCATCAGACGCCGTCGCTTCTGGCCGCGACACGCCCTGCGCCCAGGTCGACTTTTCTTCAGCAGTTTTGAATGGTGGCATTCAACATGCGTGTGACCTCTAATCGCACGCTAATAACAAAATAAAAACTGTAAGAAAATAATCACGTAATTTTTTTTGTAAAATACAATAATTCTAACACTAAAAATGATCTGTGTCTAGAATGTCCTGGCTGGCTGATGGCTAGGCTCCTGTCGACCTCGACAATAATTCTGTTGTTGTTAGTGGCTGCGGGCCGTTGAAACCGAAACTAGCTGAGTAATTGGCTCAATGGGATTTTCCATATAACAAATAAACATTGCATTGAAACGGCGAAGAGGTGGGAGTAACACATACAGAAGACCGACACGGTTCATTTATAATTGCTCTAACTTTTCAATGTCGTGCTCCTATTAATGTCATTCTTTTGCCATAATCTGGTTCTGGGCCAAGCAGGGCCAGGGGCGGATCTAGTGACGCTTTCGGTGCAGGTGACGCACAGAATGCGTCGCTTGACATACGAAAGCGGTAAAACATCAGCTGACTCGGTGGATTTCCCGAACGTGACAGCCCAGCTTCTGCAGTGGTTAAACAAGGGGGGCTCGGTACGGCCTCATCACGGCACGCATGTGCCAGTGGAAAATATTAGTCAGTTCTCCTTTACGTTTGAACACAGATAATGAATAGTATCATGTGACCAATATATGGTGGCTTGGAGGCGTGCTGCTGTTTTGCCGCTGTGGAATTTCAAATGAAAATGCTTTCTGCTTTTTAGGCTGGTGAAGAGGGTGGACACGAGAGGCATGCAAATAACCCACACATGTGCCCTGGTGAGGCTTGCAAAGGAATTTCGGCAATTTTTCACGTTGTGGCACAGCCTAATAAAAACAAAAACAAAAATCCACCAGGGCATGGACTGCGTGCAAAATTACGCAATCAAATATTCGAAACAACATGAAAGGGAATGCATTATGAAAAGGCACGCTTTGGGGGAACATTTTTCAAGCGCTGATTTGAAACTACCAAAGCCCGCTCGTGCCTGTAGGGCACATTTTATGGAGGCTCTGGTGTGATAAAAAAGAAACACCGTTTTACATTGCTCGGTGTGCGATGTGCGTTATGTAACAAGTGAGAAGAATTTGAACTACACAATAACCAGCCAAAAAAGAAAATCACACTGGCTGGGGGGGGGGGCCCTTCGGCGCAGCTGCACGAAGCCAGGTGTCTTCCTGAGTGGGCTGCCTTTTATTTACGCTCATCCATGTCAGCGCGCCCGCGCACGCACGCACCACGTGCGCGCGCGCGGGCGAGTGTGTGCGCTGCGTGTGTGCGTGCGTGCGCCGCCTCCCCCCCTGAGACGAGTCACCCCCTTCGCACAGATGAACCAGATTTGCTGCGCGTTTGTTTTTTTATTCTGCAAACTGCAGTAGCAGTGCCCCAGAGCAAGCAGAGGAGAGGGGTGGTGGGAGAGAAGGAAAGGGGCAGACCTGGTTTCTCCCCCCACCACCCACCCACACCGCCCTCCATCTGATAGCAGCCCTCTAACCCTAGTAAAGGTACTGGCAGCTGCTGGCCCCCGTGTTTCCCGACACGTGACCTTCGCAAGCAAGCTACTGATAACGGTCAACGTACGCGACTGCTCGCGCCGCCTGCCGCAACACAGTTCCGTGGCGCGGTCGTCGTTCACGGAGCAAAAAACGTGCGCAGAGAAGCGTTGAGAGTTGCATGCTGGGAATTGCATTGAGACAGAAGGAGGAGGGAGTGGATTGGAGAACCGACGCAGGTCCGTGAACGACGTTCAGAGAGAAGAGCGCGCTTGGGCAGGACACAACACGGCTAATGGGACGATGGGCAAGCGTAATAACGGAGCGGCGGCCAAGGGATGGAACGCACACTCGAGGTGCAAGGCCACCGAGGAGATGGAGTGATTCAGTTGGTTCGTGTGCAGCTGCTGGGTGGATTATTTACATCGCGGGATCGTGAGAGGTGGCGGCGGCAGCTTGGGGGAAGTCCTTGAACCAGCAGTGGATTGGCCGTGGCTATTTATGATGATCAAGTGAAGTAAGCAGCAGTAATAGGTACTCACCATTGATATTGTTAGGTTTTTTCGGTAAAGTCACGTAGGTAAAAAATTTAATTAATCAAAGTAAAATAAAATAAAATTAAAAATCACGACGTTTCGGAGGCAACACAAGCTTCCGTCTTCAGGTGGAACCGTCACAGCACGATACGTAACTTTACCGAAAAAACCTAAGAATATGAATTCTTGCAGTCACGAAAGCTTCAAATCTAGAACTCACCATTGATCTTTCCACGTACCTCGTATAAATCATTGCTGCGTATATTTTAAGCAAGGCGATAGGAAATCTGCGGAGGTTTTTTTTCCCCCCCGCGGATGTGTTGTACGGCTCTCCGATGCGTTTTTGGGTTTGTACCACGTGCTTCTCTGTACACGATGTCCGACGTTTCGCTCCGTACGTGCAGCGTTAGTCAAGAGCACTTCATCCAGTGATGGAGATAACACAGATGCCGAAGGTGTGGGCCATACAACACATTCCTGCGGAGGGAGCTGGTAGGAACGTTGGGTTGCTCGGTCAATGGCTAGGGTCAACGGCGGCGTTGTGTATTCCGCAAATATGCCCGACTGTGAGGGCGGGCACAAGCCGGCGTGAGTAGGTTAAACGTTGAGTTTTATAAGGGCACCACGGGGTGACCAGCCCCTCCCCACCCAGCCCCACACCTCCCACCCCCCACCCAGCCCCTCCACTCCCACCCCCCACCCAGCCCCTCCCCACCCAGCTCCACCCTCCCCACCCAGCCCCTCCCCACCCTCCCCACCCAGCCCCTCCCTCCCCACCCAGCCCCTCCCTGCACGACGGACGGACACAATAATTCCCTGTGGGCTGGTGTAACCAGGAGGTTCCTACCAGTATTATCGATTGTTTCTTTGTTTTATCTATAAATTGGTTGCTTTGTTTTATTTCAAAACACTGATACCTCTCGTTCTTTATCTTTATTTTACCAGGTACGGCCCACTGAGCTGTGTAGCCCTTTTTTCCAAAGTGACCTGGCCACAAATGACAGCTCAACGGAGTGGCTCATCGCGTGCAAATGTAGAGCGGCCAAACACTCTTCAACACACGCTTCTAATTGCGGAGGGAAAACCGTGGAGGACCCGGAGAAAAATCCACGCGACCACGGGGAGAACATACAAACTACAAATATACAGCAGGCGTCAGGGTCAGGGTCGGGAATTGAACATATGACCTGCTGCATACCAGGCGAGGGAGTGTTCATCTCGCCACTGCGGCGGGTGTGATTTGATTAACATCTAAATCCCGTCCGGGTGCAGCGGATGGGCAGTGGCTAGCACACCGCACTCTGAACCCGGTGACTCGAGTGTAAATCCTGGCCACGGCCAACATCAGCGGCGAGTCATTTCTGAACCGGTCCTGGACACACACCGCACCAGTCCGAACTGACCAGTGCGGCGTGTGCACGTACATGCGCTGCCGTGCGGGTTGTGGCAGTTACTGTGTTTCACCATACTTCACCATACTTCACCACATACAATGCTGATCAGTGCGGGTTGCTGAAGGTCCAGGGGAGCACAGACGCGCTAGTGTCATCATCGTCGTCGTCGTCGTCACGATCCATGGGCAGGTAGCCCGTAGGTTTCCAACGCACATTTCGCAACTGTTTCCACTTTTCTCGAGTGTACGAGTGCAGAATAGCAATGGATGTGTCTGCAGTGTCATCTGCTGACCACCTCCCATGAGCCCGTCGTGCATTGATGGTGGGTCACCCATCCTCCCAGTGCTATGCAGACTCAAACTCCCGCTGCTAAGATGACGAGATGCGACGAGCACGGGAGCTTTCCAGGTGACTCGCTTGTAGACCATTAAATTATATTGTTCTTGTTGTTGTTATTATTATTTAAATCCCACAGCCATTTGATCACTCCTCCTCCGCACGCCTCCATAACCGCGGACAAACGTGCGGAGGGCAACAGCGTGAATGTATTTTTTTATCTACATCATGAGGCCTCCTTAGCCAGTACCAAAAAACTGAAGACTTTTTAACGAGGAATTATGTCTGCATTAACCACAATACTTTTGATCAGAATGCAAACAAAAAAGCACACTGATAATATATGCATTGTCCTTGAAACTGATTGGTCTACACCAGATCCAGCTTTCTTTTGAGCCTAGTCTCAAACGGTGTTTAGTTTCAAGGACAGAGTATGTTTTTTTTTGGGGGGGGGGGGGGATTCTGACCACAAATATTGTGGTTAATGCAGACATGTTTCCTCATAAAAGGTTTCAGTTTTGTTGCCAGAAAAAAGGGGAGAAACCCTATTCTTATCTTTTATAGTTTTGTATGTTTACAGAGTGGTGCCCACCTGATGATGATTGCTTGTGTTGCAATCGAACCGTCGTATGCTAGTGTTTAATTTAATGTATTACTTTATCTTGATACGTGACTTTTACCGAAAGAACCAGAGAATAATTCCTGCAGTCACGAAAGCTCCAAATTAAGTTTGGTGCCCAGCACTCACATGCCAGCTGGAAGGTACCCGCCATGGCCTCCTCCCACCAGTCCGTGTTGGGGTTGAGGCAGGGCGACCGGGCCCACGCTAACACGTAGAGCAGCAAGCCGAGGAAGAGGGCAGCACTCGCAATCAGGTTGCACCCCCGCATCATGTCGAATTGCACTGTGGGGGGAGGGGGGGGGGGGTTGGTGACAGCGGCAAAACAAAAATCTCAAAACGGGGCCAAGTGGATACCCCCCTTCGGCCCATGGGTCACAGCTGGCCCACGTGACACCTACCAACAGTGGTGGCACTGCGAATGAGAAAGCGAGCGGAGGCTTAGGGCACAGCAAGGAGGCTCAATGTCGCCCTGAAATTCACGGGAAAAAAATAAGGATGTGTAAGCAAATCATCGGCACATGCAAAGGCTAATGATCGTATTATATTTACAATGGCAATCCCATCATTTCTATCTTGTCTGCATCTCTTTTTTTATCTTACAACGGTAGATATTTTATATTACCTCACATGATCTCTACATATCTTATCTATATATCTCGTCATCTCACCCGGATTTTATTCATGACATCGAGGGGTCCCTAAAAAGAATAGGTGAGCACTACCACTGCCTAAAAATGTAAATGCTCCTTAACCAAAATGTATCCATCACTCTAAAACCACTTTGCCGAACTAATCATAAACTTTAGGGGAATTTTTTTTTTACCTCCCAAACACCGCGTTCTAATTTTAATATGCGTCTTGCTGTGACAGGAGTGACCGAGGTCTCGGTGTGTGTCAATGTGTGGTTGCCAACCAAAAATATCTGAAAGCCCTACTCAGCCCTCAGTAAGGAAAGGTTCCGTACTTCTGGCCCTATAACTTCAGAATCTCTCAGAATTATTTATCCTGGAGAAATCCGATGAGCAAGCATGCTCTTTTTCACAGACGTCCAACTTGGGTAACCAGAACTGCCACATTGATAATTTTCACTTCCTCTCGTTTTAGTTTTTTGTTCCCAATTTTTATTCCAGTCGTGCTCTCGGCATCATTTCATGAAACGAGGACCCAGGGCAGAATGCCACGTGGCGCCTCCTTTTTCATTAGCGACAAAAGAATTGGCCCATTGTTGAGGTCCACCTTGGTGTCGGGCTCGAGGCAAATTTCACCTTTTGTTCCCCTTCCCCCAAGGGGGCAGCATCACGTGGCCGCAGAAGTGGTAATGTTGAATTTTCAGAGATGAAATTTCAACCCTAAACGAAGGGCATTTTATTATGTTTTATTTTTATTATTTTATTATTTCCCTTCTACGTGACTTTACCGAAAGAACCAATAAGATGAATCCCTGCAGTCACGAAAGCTTTAAATCGAAACATAAAAATGTTTTATTTTTATTATTTGATTACTTCCCTTCTACGTGACTTTACCGAAAGAACCAAGAATATGAATCCCTGCAGTCACGAAAGCTTTAAATCGAAACATAAAAATGTTTTATTTTTATTATTTTATTACTTCCCTTCTACATGACTTTACCGAAAGAACCAAGAAGACGAATCCCTGCAGTCACGAAAGCTTTCAATCGAAATAAAACCAAAACTGTTTCGTGATTGGCGACGTGTCTGCGACCATCAACTCACGCTACTCGAAATTACGTTTTCAATCACGATTCGAACCCAGATTCAAACCCAGAATCTTAGCGGTGCTGGCTCAGGCAACCCCTGAACTCACCCGGCCACCTCACGTTCCATTTTGTCCCCACATCAGGCGGCTTACAACGCGGCAATATTGCTCAGCGCACTCACTCCTGAGCAACTTTCGCGCAGAGTCAATTGCATCTCTGTCAACAGCCACTTGCCAATTCTGCAAGGGATTCACAAAGCTTCCCACGTGCTGTAAAAATGTAAAGGTGCAGCCCTGCAATGGCTTGCCCACGGCACTGCTGGTAGAAGGCCCTCCACTAGATGGTGCCCTGGATGGACCATAAAGAGGCTCTTTTGGGATACAGGATTTGGCGTCCATCCACTTTATGGCTTCCATCGTTGTCTCAGGCCATGCGAGCGATTCCAATATTCAGGAAAATGTGACACACAATGCACCGTATGTATATATTGTGTGTATGTTTAACTTATTTCGCGCCGTACATAGCCAACCGTGCGAATCGGAGGTGCGGGGAAAGGACGACAAATACAGTCTACGTGTGTGTCTCTCTCTGTTTGTCTCTGTGTGTGTCACTCTGTGTGTGTCTCTGTGTGTCTCTCTCTCTGTGTGACTCTGTGTGTGTCACTCTGTGTGTGTCTCTGTGTGTGTCTCTCTGTTTGTCTCTGTGTGTGTCTCTCTGTGTGTCTCTGTGTGTGTCACTCTGTGTGTGTCTCTGTGTGGGGAGCGGTAGTGTAGCGGTTCGCGCGCTGCACTCCGAACCTGGCGACCCGGGTTCGATTCCCGCTCACGGAAAGCACCAGTGACGATTATCTCAACCGGTCCTGGGCCTCCCCTAGGTCGACTCAGCCTCAAATGAGTACCTAGTGCGATGTGTAAACATCGCCGCTAGGGAGACAAAGGCGGTCGGGCGTGGTGCTGGCCACCCACCCCCTCGTGTGCCGTTCCGGCCTTCATAGGTGCTCGCTAACAGCACTTGCCCCTACAGTCTGTTAAGGCTATATGGGGGATCTTTGTTTTTGTTGTTGTCTCTGTGTGTCTCTCTCTGTTTGTCTCTGTGTGAGTCTCTCTCTGCTTATGTGTCTGTCGGTGTGCCTCAGTGTCTGTGTTTTGTCTCTTTCTCAAATTTAGCGATTTTCGGAAGAACGTTAAGCAACCAGGTGGGGTGCTGACTGTTGTGTTAGCCGACTCTCTGTGTTTTATTGCATTATATTTCTAAGTTTACTATTTTTGTTTTCTCATTCATTCTTACCTGCTGATGGTTGCTCGTGTTGCAATCGAAACGTCGTTTTCTGTTATTTCATTTATTTTCTTCCTACGTGACTTTACCGAAATAACCAAAGAGTAATTCCTGCAGTCACGAAAGCTTCAACTCAAGTGTTTGACTATCATTGTTAGCCGTGGTCAATCCACTGCTGGATGAAGTCCACTCTAATTCACCGCAATCTCTCATCAACCTGCAATTTTCTATACTATGCACAGCCAAATTGTCTTTTTTTAAATAAAATCTACGTTTTTATTCCAGTCACAGTTCATGAAAATATATATATAATTGCACACCACTGCATATCCTTGATGTAGCCTGTATCAAATTTTTTAAAAGTATTTGCAAGCTCCCTGCGGCGCTCGCTCTGTACCGGGCGCTTGCTTAATAAAAAAAAGATTATAAGAAACAAAATAATATTTTCAAGAACCTTGTTAAAAATATAGACGCATCGTTTTACTTAGTCTGTTTGCAAAAGGTACTATTTCAAATCTCAACGATGACCGATCAGAATTGAAGTGATAACACAGCCTGCAGCAAATGATTTTGCATGAAGGATTTTTTTTTGTCACAGTCAATGAGCAGAGCTTAGTGCTGCTACCCAGGTCTCCCTGGAGACCTTTTTTTAGGGGGGGGGGGGTGGTGGGGGGCGGAGGAGGAGGGGGGGGCAATTGGAAAAAACAAGTTTAATCCCTCGAGACTTTTAATCGCAATAAACTCCCACTCACTTTCAACAAAAGATGTCGATTCTGGTGGTTGGCAGAACAGAAATACCACATTCTATCATTAAGTTATGCCATTCCCATACCATCAAAAATACGTGTATATTATGACTACTGAAATATATCTAGTATAAAAATACGAATATTATTGCCCGTAAATCAATTTGCCGTGTGATGCACGCGTTTTTTTCCGCAAGCATTATTGCCCTATCTCCTTCACGAAGTTTTCAAATATCTGGTGTTGCTTTTCACATTTCACCCTCATCTGAATCGAAGATGACAATTCCGTCGAGTTAGAGGTATTGGATGTCTTTGTGTTCACCTTAGTGTGTATGCTGTGTTCACAAGATGGTCCCAATAATCGTTAAACTGAATTATCTAAATACAAACTACCACACGCCAAAAACAGGAGTTCACGTCTTTCCCATGGCAGTTTAACGATACTCTTATAGGACATCTTCTTGGTTCTTTCGGTAATGTCACGTAGAAGGGAAATAATAAAATAATAACAAATAAAACATAATAAAATCTAAATTCTCACGACGTTTCGGCCACAACGCAAGCAGCCGTCCTCAGGTGAAGAACAGGAAAGACAGCGTCGGACGCTGTCTTTCCGACAGACCTGTTCTTCACCTGAGGACGGCTGCTTGCGTTGTGGCCGAAACGTCGTGAGAATTTTATTTTATTATTTTTATTATTTCCCTTCTACGTGACTTTACCGAAAGAACCAAGAAGACGAATCCCTGCAGTCACGAAAGCTTTAAATCTTATAGGACAATCTATAGACTTGCGTTTCTAGTACTATTGCGTCCATTGATAATTATATGATCAGGTGAGAGTCTAACGGCATGTTATAATCCCTTCTGCCGCACAAAAAGTTCTCGACTAATCCTACACCACGTCTGGAGTGTTATGCGTCCTTTAAACTGAGCGGCAGTGATGTTTGAAGCGTGGCGTTTAAACAAACGACACTGAGCGCACGATGGTTCCACTTATTCATTCGCCAACGCAGGCCGTTGACGCACATCCACATGGCACGGGTAGCTAGGGGGCCCCCCTTTGGACATTCTCACGGCAATTAAAAGGGCAACGGAAGTTAAAGATTTTGCGATTGGAAATTTTAACTCCGTGCACACTGATGGCTCGCTCAATGGCAATCAAAAAAAGAAATGCCAAGCCAAACCCACTTTAGGCGTACATCAAAATCTCACGAATGCATTTGAACGCAACAATTCAGATTCCTATGGAGAAGCTCCCGGGCACGTCAAATGCAAACGTCGGGCACTGCGCGGGCGAACACAACGGTACGACCCAACGCACACGTCGGAAAGCCGGAATTTCATCCGCACACACCTGCAGAATTGTCATTACATCTCAAATACATTCCATTGGACACACGTTTTTTAAAATCGTTTTTTGGCGTCCAGTGTGTTGTCCCACCCACGCACCTCTGATTCGCAACGCTTTTGCTACGTACGGCGCGAAAGAAGTTCCACATACGTACGTACGCACATTTAATTAGACACATTCTGCGGAGATATAACCACCGCGTCCAATCGAAATCTGCGCGCGTCCGAGTGAAGCAACGCCGTCGCCACGTGTACGGGAAGAGGAGGTGCGAAAGAGTCCGCCTTACGCTTGACGGTGGCATGCGACTCCAGGTATCCCGCAGGGTCAGACCCCCAGCCCAAGTTCACGCACGGCACGCTGGGCCCCCTCTGCTCCTCCTGCCTTTCCCCGGGGGTCTCGCCGCCCTGCGCTGCCGCTCCGCCGCTCGCCTCCGTTCCGGCGTAGCACATGCGCCAGAGTCCCACGCTCCGCCGACGACCCTCCTCGAGACTCTGGTAGACCCAGTTGGCCGTGAACGCCGCCACATTGTTGAGGACCAAGGAAACCAGCGCCACAGCCACGGCCAGCGCCACCAATTTGGCGTTCAAAACCATCGCTGAGGTGCGCGCTGGCAACGGCAAAACTTCGCCCGCCCCCCCGCCGGTGCCGGTGCCGAAGGCCGCCGTCGATCGCTGCCCTCCGCCGACTGCTTTACTCCGATGGGCCATGGCCGGTGCACGCTCGCATGTGGGGTGAGGCCATGTGCGCTGGGCCATGCCCGCGTCGTGGTGTTCGGGCGACCCCGCCGGCAGGAGCTGCAGCGCCTTCGGGGCTCTTTTGAATTTCACTCGACGACTTGGACTTTCTCTCGGTGCAATGCGCTCCCGGTCAGGCCTGTTTTTTTTTGTTGTAGCGCGGGTCTCCCTCGCAGCAGCTCACCTGGCCCCGGTAACCGCGTCTGCTAATGGTCAATGATTCTCCCGTCCCCTCCCACCACCCACCCCACCACCACCACCTCCCTCCCTCCCTCAAACTCCTGATGCGCACGGCAGTTCAATGCGAGAGGAGGCTCCTGCCGCCCAAGTGGATGCACATTTGCGCACGCGGCGACTGAATAGAAAGGCGGTGACTTTTATTTATTTATATGTAGCCTCCCACGAACACCGCTTAAACAGGATCTGTTTCCTATCGGGTGGAAGGAAAAATGGGGGTTTGGGTAGCAAATTCTCTCCCCCACCCCTACCCCACCCACCTCACCACTCCTCCTCCCCTCAACTCCCATCCTCCACCATCACTACCACCACCCTCAGCACCCCACCCCGCAGGAGCACAGCGAAGCATGGGGAGGAAGCTGTTGGGAGGAGGTGGTGGTCGGTTGCTGGCTGGCTGGATGGAGAGGGGTGGGGGGCTGACCGAGGATGTGGCAAGGAGTTGCTGCTACATTTATCGGGAGCGAAGTGGTGGGGGGGGGAGGCATTGCAATGGCTCGACGTGGGGTGGGGGGGGTGGCTGGACATCCCTGTGTGTGTGTGTCTGCAGGACGGGCGGCGAGAAACGCGGAGGGATGTGGCGGGGGCAGGCGATTATAGCCAACCAGGATGTTGACATCAAGCGGTGGGTCTCGCTCGCAGCTCTTCCCACACTCGGCTGTTTGTGGATCTGCGCTGACGCTTCCTGTCCCATGGCTGGCCAGCACGTACTGTACGTCAGGAGGGCGCGCGATAAATCTTAGAGTGGCCCGGCTATCCCCCCCCCTCTCTCCTCCTCCTCCTCTTCCCCCCTTGTGCTGACGCAGACTCGGTGTTGCGTCTGAGACGCCACCTACGGGAGGGTGTGAATGATGGAAGCGTGTACGTTCCAATTCCACGTCAGATATCCTGTCGTCGTCCCCCCCCCCCCCCCGTGAAAGTCTAAATTCATTTCTTTCGTAGACCACCAATCGTGACAATTAAATCCTGCAGCACTAATTCGTCTCTTTGACCTGCTTGCGTTTTTAAAACTAAAAATATACATAAATATCAACCTTTAAAATGTTATTATTACTTGGTCGTTTTTTCCTCCAAATTATATTCCTATTGTGTTTAAAAAAAAAAAACGTGAGATGGCAACGTGTTGAAAAAGCCATTCAAGATTTTTAATCTTCAATGAAATCAGTAACACTACCTGACTTTCCTAATCATCGTCTTCGTCCAAAAAAGCATTATCATTAATTAACTTATAATCATCCACACACAGCCTCAAACTGCCTTTCAATCAAATAAAAATCACAACAAAAAATTTTGGAATGGGAAAAAAAATCGTGGGAAATTTGCCAGCGCAGTCATTGACAAAGATTGATTCCACTGCCTTGCTGAAAAAAACGTGGGCCCTCTATTCCACCCTGTTGTGAGCCAGACCTCGGAGCATTTGGCAAAGGACGAAACCGTCCTTGGCTCGGAACAGGGTATAACAATCCACAATGCGAGCCCACGTTGACATATTTATACTACTCCATTTTTGTAGACTATTTATAATGATTCGCCGCCTGACCGCTTGCTGTTTGCGGCTATATTTGCACTCTGAGATAAGATTAACGGCAGGATATCGGTGAGGTCACTCAGCCAGTCTCTCTTTCTCTGCCATCGTGGATGGGCGTGGGCGGATGGCAGGGGGCGGAATTGTTTTTTGAGGAAACAGCAAATGTAAGACTTGTTTAAATGTTCACAAGCATTTCAACCTAAATATGATATCGAAGGTGAAGGGAAAGGTGCCGCTGACGGCAGGACCTCCACCGAGAGGAAACTCTAGAGAGCACGTCTATAGGGTGTCGTGGCCTGCTCTTCCCTGCTGGCAAGAAGACATCGTGGAAGAGGTGGGAGTCCCCACACTTTACCCCACCGCGCGCGACCTGCCGATCACAGTGAATTGCGGTACAACGTTTCGCACTGCAGGGTCGACAGAGGCGAGTTTTTTTCAGTTTTCAGTTTTTTCAGTTTCATTTATTAGGAAGTGCCCTGTGAGCCATTCGGCTCTTGACTCGGGTGCAACCGCAACAAACAAAAACGTGAACAAGAAAACATCTTCAAGTGACTACGCGCAAACAGAAAAATCCAGGAAAAAACAGCAAAGTCCTTATGGGGGGGGGGGGGGGGGGGAGAGTCAAGAAACCTGCCCATTGTTTCAACTGCCGCGCCGGAGGATCAAAACTGCTCAGCTCAGGAGTATGCAATCCGTGACACCACGGCAACGTTCACAGTGTTCGTGAATGCATACTTGTACACGTGACAGTGGGATGTTCTGTACTTTTATTGTCAGTGGATGCCTGCGGACAGGGGGAGTAGTAGTCACCTTGATTCAGTCACTTCGAGATTAACTCGCCCACCTGAGTTCGATTCCCAGCCACAGCTAATGTCAGTGGCGGGTGATGTTAAAACATCTCCTGAATGGCTCCTTCACTGGCCCGCCCTGGGTGTAAGTCAGTAGGTCTCCATTTAACCATGAAGTGAATTTAACCTAATTGTGACACATCCTTGACTCTTTCGCAACCTGGGTTGCATCGAATTATGTAGGTGACGCTGCTGCTGCTGCTGCTGCATTGGCAGTGGTGCACAAGCACAGTGAATATACAGACATCCAACAAAATCGTCAATAACTCTGTGGTCTTCAAGGAAAAATATGTATAATAGGCGACGTTTCAGGCAATGGCCCTTTTTCACAGCACATACATATATCTTAAGACAATGTTATTGACGGGTGTGTTGAGCTTCTTTGGGGTAACATAGAGACATTTTAAGTAAACATAATATTTATGTGTTTTTTATATTATTAACGTAACAAATCTCGACTAACTTTAACAATTCTGTTATTGACTCGATGTCAATAGAATAATTTTAAGAATTTAATTAAATTTATTTTATTTTATTACTGTATTAACAGCCAATGGAATCAGAGGTGATGTCAATAGAATAATTAAACAAAAAATTCCTGAACGAATAATTGTTTGAAATTAAATAATAGCTTTTAATTGAAGTAATATTTTTGTCCATTGAAGGCCAGCCTGTGGTCTGGAAGAAAAAGCTTTTGTTTGGTGTTCAGATCAATCACACGCTACATTGCCTAATTATTGAAATGAACTGTGCTAGATTGCCGTCCTGTCCTCCCGTTAAAACACTTGAACGTGTACGACGGAATATGTATTTCATATATACTTCAGTAGAAGTCCTCAAACTACCCCCTTTAAATCAGCAACATCACCCAACTAAGCTAGAAAAAAACTGTTCACTTCATAGCTAAGTTCACAAAGAAGGCCATGAAGATGGAATGAAGATAAATCAGTGTTGGAGGGGAGATGCCTTGCAAACACAACAGAGCCAAACTGCATACCAGGGCCGACTATTAAAGGTAGAACTGAATCAAAAGGATTACGGTGGACAGGAGTGAGTTCAATAGAGAGAGTTGCTTTAAATTGTCACGAAATTGTCCGCTGTGACATACGGATCAGAGACGTGGGCATTGACGTATAAATAAATAAAAACAACGTTAAAGGAGCACAGACGGAAGATGCACACTTGAAATCACACCGAGAGACAGGAAGAGGAGAATATTCTAAGGTTTTTTCGGTAAAGTCACGTAGGTAAAAAATAAAAAATAAAATTAATAAAAGTAAAATAAAAAATAAAATAAAAATCACGACGTTTCGGAGGCACGTAGGTAAAAAATAAAAATAAAAATTAATAAAAGTAAAATAAAATAAAAATCACGACGTTTCAGGTGGAACCGTCACAGCACGATAGCTGTATCAAGTAAGAGAAATTCCAAGAAAACAGTCCTTGTCTATATACTGGTTGAGGGTGGGAGGAGCCAAGGTAGACCCTGAATATTCTTTTTGTGAGGTTCGGTGCTGCTGAAGCACGCTGTTAGGAATGAGCCTTTGTTGTGTAAACTAGGTGCGGCTGATGTAAAGGTGCGTGTAAATTTAATTTTAATTTTTTACCTACGTGACTTTACCGAAAAAAACCTAAGAATATGAATCATTGCAGTCACGAAAGCTTCAAATCTAGAAGGAAGAGAAGCCAATCGATTTGGGGAGCGAATGAAACGCGGAGACATCACATTCGTTTGCGCAGAATGGGCTTCGAGCTGGACATGACCGCGCGAATGAATGAGTTGCCAGTGGGCGAAAACTAACCGCATGGTCAACGAATGGCAACCGAAGGCAATGCACCCGGCCGGCAGGATGACCGGCCGGGGAGATGGAGCGACGAGATCAACGCTCAGGTGCAGGAGCGGGGACGGATCTTGCGTGACGGCGGTGGCGGTGGCCACGGCGTCTGGAAGGCTTCATCCATTCCAGATTTGAAGCTTTCGTGACTGCAAGGATTCATATTCTTAGGTTTTTTCGGTAAAGTCACGTAGGTAAAAAATTAAAATTAATAAAAGTAAAATAAAAAAAATCACGACGTTTCGGAGGCAACACAAGCTTCCGTCTTCAGGTGGAACCGTCACAGCCACGACAGCTGTATCAAGTAAATGAGAGATTACAAGAGCTACCATTATATAAACGGAGTGGTAGCTCTTGTAATCTCTCATTTACTTGATACAGCTGTCGTGGCTGTGATGGTTCCACCTGAAGACGGAAGCTTGTGTTGCCTCCGAAACGTCGTGATTTTTATTTATTTTATTTTACTTTATTACTTTTAATTTTTTACCCGACGTGACTTTCCCAAAAAACCTAAGAATAGGCCTCATCCAGCAGTGCATAGGCAATAGCTCCTGGTGAAGATGAAGATCGCCGCGGTGGCTAGGAGAGATGTTAACTACCTCGCCCGGTGTGCAGGAGGTCGTGGGTTCGATTCCGACCCTGGCGCCTGTTGTATATTTGGAGTCTTGCGTGTCTCTCTCTCTCTCCCTCCGTGTTCGCGTGGATTTCTCTCCGGGGCCTCCGGTTTTACTCTCCACATTTCTATTCGTGCGTTTAG